ATGCCGTGAATGATGAAAACGATACACCCACAAATTTCTGAACGAAAGCCACTTCCGAAGCCACAGCGGACGAAGTTCAAAGCCGAATGTGCGCCAATAATTTTCAAAAGAGATCGATTAAAACAAATCGCAAAAAATGACGGCAGATGAGGGTGGTTTTAAGTCCACGCATATATGCGAAGAAGTGCAACATCTTGACGTCAAAGTTTTTATTTCGCCCGCAGGGGTTTTACAGAAAAGTGCATTGTGCGGCTAGCCGCTGGCCATGTTCGCCCGCACACATTTGAATATTGCACGCAGGCCTAGAGAATATTATTAAACAGGAGTCCTTTAGATCGTGGATCTGAACCAAACAGGATAACAAACGTGATCGCACACTTCGGAGTGCAGTATTCTTTTTCAAGATCCCCTAGCTTCTCGTGTCTCTCCGGGACATCCGGACTCAGTATTTGATCAGCTCGTTCCTCTTAGAGACTGCACAAACCTTTAATGTGGTTTAGCGGATGCAGCCAGTGTGTATTCATCCAGATCCTTACAATGCACATTATTTACGGTCCCGGGAAGGAATTTTTCTGTGTATGTCCAGCATTTCAATCACCTTGTGACGTATCCACTCTTGTCCGCCTCCCTCCAGCGAAACCAGATGCCGCCTAACATTTAGCGACCGGCGTCACTTTACTATCGAAAAAGTTAGCTAACTCCAATGAGTGTGTGGTGATTGGCAAGAGGTGGTGGTTCCTGAATTGTCCAATTAAGCCTATCGTGAGGATGTGACTGGTGCAGAAGTTGCGCAAGCCCAACCACGGCCCACCCAAAAAGCATTTTCTCTTATGAACCACTGTTGTAGAAAGGATTGCGAAGGATTTACGACGTCAACATTACGAGTTGCTAAAAGCAAACGGACTCCTGCCACCTTGGCCAAAGCTGACTAGATTCCGCTTGCGGGTGGCCTGGAACCCTTAAGGAAGCAGCCTGCACCTCGTGTGCACGGCGCACAAGTTTTCATTTTCCAAAGGGACTGGTTAGATTCGTGCGTAGTTTTGTCACGCCGCTTTCCTGGATTGAGCCTGCAACCCACACCTGGACAGTCCCACTAACGGTGTTGTGATTTATTGTGATGCTCTATCTTGCACAAGCTGTTGTGCGAAAAGTTTTGGTGCGCTTGCAAACTCCGGGTTACTGAACCGTTACACTTTCATCCGTTAAATGTTATTAGCACGCAGAGCGATTTTGAATTCGTTGGGTAGGCATTAGGCAGCCGCTCTTAACTCTGTCTCCTATCATTTTGCTCTTTAAAAACACCCATATTCTAAGGTTGACGTGGCGAAAATCATGGTGGATTGTTGAAGGACAACGCCCATTATGTATTCGTAAAAACCGGAGGATCTATTGTCCTTGCGAAGCTGCATTGTGGACTAAAAGAGTAAACGAGAATAAGAGGCCCCACCCGGGAGCTCGCTGATGATTTCTCACGAGTGGTGTCAAAACGCCTGCAAGCGAATTTCCGAGCCTCGGTGAACTAGGCTTCAGTTTCTTCAAAGCCTGTCAATGCTGCAGCCTTGATCGATGTCCAAATCATCGTTGAGAAAAAATCCCGGCTGGCGTGGAAAATCACGCCCAGGCCAATTTTGACAGCGACTGTTTAATCTACTTGAAGGTCTGTCGCAATGCCATTCGATTACAGTTGCTACTAAAGAGGGAACAAGCTCTAACTTCTGATCAACAACTATACCAATCCCCTATCTCATATACACGGCTGCGGGCAAAGTGCAACTTTTCTTTACATGACGTGAAAAGGAACCAAAATGGACAGCCTTCGCAGCAGCCAACGTCCTCGCTGCGTGGTACCGATCTGCCTTCGCTTCACCCGTTGCGATCTCTGCTGTCTAATCTAACGTGCAGGCCCATTTTCATGCCTTGTACATAGCTGGATAAATCGAACCCATTTTCCTACCGCCATATGACGTCATGTTTTACTTACATTGATCGTCTTGAACTATGCGCTCGCTCCAGCTCTTTCATGTTTTACTCTTATTCTTTTATGCTCCATTGGTGAATCCCTTCCCATCCGGAGGCCGGCAGTTTTACACCCCACATAAATTGGTCTACGTGACCAGTGGAATCGCTTTTATTAGCATCTCAATTCTTCGTCTTCAGATCCCCAGAAATTAGGCACGGTCCCAGTACGTCTAAGGTTGAAGTGATAGTGGCCTCTTGCTTGTTCGACCGCAATGTGCCTCCTAGCCAGAAAATGCTTTCGGGGTAGGGCGTCTCGGTTTTCGGGATAGAATCCAAAATCTTAACACCAGAGGAGTAAACCCTGAAATGTTAAATTTTGGCAACCATTAGCTCTAAAATCTTTGAAGTTATTTAACCATTTCGTTCAAATACTGTGAACCATTGTAGAGCGCTTAAACACTGGGAATATCGAAACACAGTACGGTAGGTGGAAATAATGATGTCCATCTTGTATCACAGGCGGACCATCATTAACTGAATGAGCGCTATCAAAGGGGGGTATTTTCATCTTTTCCCGGCAGGCTCGTTGGCACGGATGCAATTCGAAAAACGATGTTTAAGCCAGTTATGCTTGCTGTGGTCGAATAGTATCGGTCATTGTCTAAAATTGTACTTCAAGATTACGTTATGACATAGGACATATGCAGCGCGGCAGTTTTACAAATAGCACCAGGGAAAGTGTATGTATAGTGTGTGAAACATGTTGCCGACTGACACTGTCAAAACAATCAAGGTCGAAAAGCAGGAGCCCTCGAAGCGTTCTGTCTAAGACTCAGCTGTTGATACCTGATGGTCCCTCATCGCTCGCGACAGTTGGGGTATGAAAACAAAATTTTCCGTCCCACCTGGTTATAACGATGCAACCAGGCAGCCCCTCGGCCAGGAGAAAGTGTGATATTTCCATATGAAGAATTACGATATGGGGAAAGGCATTCAAAAAATTTCCTGAAAGATGGATATGCGTCTCGTCCCTGGCAGAACGATCTTTCGCGTAAAGGGTTGATGGAAAAATTTCCTCCCCTATGTAAAACTGAGAGGAGTGTCGCGAATGCTCATGCTTGAACGCGAACTGTTTCCTTTATATAATGAGCACTGAACGAGGCTAGCCCGTCCCTGCTAGCTTTTGCAGACGATATAAACGCATACTGGATATGACGTAAAATGTTTCCTTGGATACAAAAGCAGTCTTATTACTCCTGGTGCTAAAAATAACTCTTCAACGTTCAGGAGTCAAGCTCCATATATGTGATAAAAATTTGACTTTCGTTATTCTAAGAAAGCACATTTTTTATCCACGAATAAGGCGATAAAGCTCATGAACAGTAACGCTCCACCAGGCTTCACCACAGGGAAAATATAGTAATTGGCAGACCCAGATTTATCAGGAGCGTGTAGACCTCACTCTAGCCAACAGCTTCGGAGCTATTCACACCAGTTTAATCGGGCCCAGCATTTTGTCAGCCACGTGGTCTAGACACACGTCCAAAAGTTTTTTTGATGACTATGTTCAGCTTTGCATAAAATCACGTCGAACTACAGACCTGACAAACAAATTATGTGTGCAGCCGATTTCATTATAGCTTAGTCCAAAGAGGAATACCAAAGATGGAGCGCATAGTTCGTACTCAGTCACGATGTCCATAACTTCACAAAATAACGCAAACAAACACATGAATCACTCCCACACGCCACAGTTGGGACCTGAATGTTCTCCGCACGTTCGAATGCTATGAAAAATATCCTGCAGGTACCATCAGGCTGGCGCACATTGCTTCGCACCCCAAAAGAATCTCTGGCAAACGGTATTTTGGCCTTGGTAACACATGGCCGGGCCACCGCAACTGATGGTGCAGGATGTTTTCCGCGACTAAAGTACTTGCTGCACAATCAAAGTTCCGTCTGTACGAAGTCATCGACGCCACCAGACACCAGCGCTCCTGAGATACCGGTAGTAAAACGAAATAGAGACGCTTCACATCATCCGTTTACACAGGCCATCTCATAATCACACAACAATACGGCCGTTACTGGAGCTTGGTACGCACGACTCTTGAGACCCAGTGATATGCCGTTTCGACGGCACAAGTAGCGCAAATTGACAAAAGTCCTTCGCGTCTTTGAGATTCGTGCGCTGATCGCATCGGACACACTTCCATCACGGCCAATACAACCAACAAGGTATGTCAAGATTTCCACAAACTCCAGTGCTTCTCCTTGAATTGCAACAGGCATGCTCTGAAGCATGAATTTACACTTTGGAAGTGCAAGGCGCACGCTAAAAATGGCATGACGGTAGTCAGTTTATTCAACAAGACTTTTGCTCTGTCTTCAAAGAGTGGAAGCGACCGAGAGGTGAACAGTCCATGACCTAACAAGGGAATATAAAATCACTTAGTAAATCCAGTCAGGCCGAAAACTGCTGCCTTTCTGGTGGGGGAGTCCCTGGACTCAACCCACCAACAGCCAAAAAAAGTGACAGAAAATTCTCAATCTGGCAGTCATTGGCGCTCCCGCATCAAAGTTATCACCTTCAGTGCGTGGCTGCTCGGACTAGAACAAACTGTCACTGACAAATACTTGGTTCTGTCTCCGCCGCCGCCCAATTTTGGGCGACTGAAACTGGAGCAGCTGAAACCAACATGCCTTTGTGCATGATTCATAGCTGATAAACTGAACTGGACTGTGTTGATGCTGCTCTTCGATAACCCGTCTCAAGGTGAAGATATGGTCGACGCCTACTCGATCAGAATGAACCCCAGGTTGGTCCTTACGGTCTCTCCCGGTAATCAATCAACCTGAGCAAAATAACGCCAGTGAGCATCTCATCGGTTGGTGGACACCACGTAGTCAAACGATTTTCACCGTTCTGGATTTTGGGATTGCAGAGTAGCAGTCTTTGATCGACTCACATTCCATTGACCATGAGTTTCGTGTATTATCCAAGATAATCACCAACTGGGTCTCAGCTCGCTACTTTACTTATGCATTAATGTTTCCCGCGATCACAACGACATCTAAGCCCGTTGTAAAAAAAAACCTAGAGCGCTGTAGAAACTGAATTCGGTAGATTCACATCTACAATCCGTTGAGGCATAAACAGGGAGCAATAGACTTCTCTTTCTCGAGATTTCTTCAAGTAAGCTACCAAAGAAATCGCGCTCATGTTACTATCATCAAGTATTCAGTCAAGTAGAAGTGCTTCTGCTCGATGGTTTAACAGACTACCTATCCCGGTGTATACAGCGGTCTCCGTGTCACAAGAGAGATGCAGCCGGAAGCGGGAGGCGAGAGAAGGGGTGGTCAGTTCAACTGCATCCTGGATACTTTTTCCTGACGGACGAACTGGTTTGCAAGGTAGCTTATTATCAATTCTGTTTTCGAAAGACACAACATCAAACAATCAATTTTTTTCTGTTTCAGCTACTCAGTTATACTAATGGTTCGGATCACTCCAGAGCTTGTAGAGAACTCCCCGCAGTTTACCAATGCCATAAAGGACCGCGAATTAGACCTAAGAGGGTACAAATTCCCTGTTGTGGAGAATTTGGGCAGCACTCTGGACCAGTTCGATACTATCGACCTTTCGGACAATGAAATCCGAAAGCTAGATGGATTTCCCTTGTTAAGGAGACTAAAGTCTCTTATTCTCACAAACAATAAGGTATGTATTCACTCCGCCTGTTTAGGATGTCTTGTTTCCTTTGTGATATTCTCATTCTCCATTTGTTTCAATCTATGCCAAAGAGCGCCTTTATGTGCATTGGGTCCTAGTTAGAACTAGATTAGGGTTTTCTTCTGTCTCAATTTTTTGTCGCTGATTATCCGTTTGGTAGAACGCTTTTCACGAGGAACACAACCCATATTCGACTTTTGAGATTAGTGATCGTCATGGGTTTTTTTGGGGTCATTCAGCATGTCGAAGTATGACAAATATCGTTCGAGTGGACTGCAACAACTTTATTGTTCAGCTGGTCTAGTGCATATGACAACAAAATGTCTGGGCCCTGGACCCTCCAGGATGGCGTCCGCGTGATCCTCACTTTTCCCGGTTAGAGACGCTGTACGATATTTTTACTAATCGATGCCCATGGCACTCTTGCTGTCAGCTTCTATCCATATTGTATGTACGCGTGTTTTGAAGTACAGGCGCCTCGGAATGGTTCTGATAGATTAGCATTAAGTCCCTTCCGGATCCACTTTCTCAAAAATAAGGCTTTCAAACAAACTGCGGCAGCGAAGCATCAGTGTTGAACACCAATTTTAACCTATTGATGATGAAGTATCTAGCGTACGAGCAGGATCTGCTTTACGTCCTGTTTGATTCAGTGTGCGAATATTCATGGAGGATAGGTACACCGGTTTTCGGTGTTCCAAAAGAATTCGGGGTGTTCAGGGTTGTTGATGAAGTCGGGCGCACAGAAGTGCAGCTGAGCATGGTGCATGGCGAATAAGGCGGTCATCCTTAGTCTTTGGGACTACAGAGAAAGCACTCGCATTGGGGTAGAATAGAAGGGGGGAATGTATCAGAGCCTATGAAAAGAGGTGTCAGCAGTAGCTTGTTTTCGCTCACCGGCCCTACTATATGATCCGACTGGAGACACTGCGCGACGGCCGATGCGGCATGAGGGTATTATTAGTTATAGGTACCACGGCTGTACGTAGTCTGGGATAGCATCAGGACGCCCAGACCCAAACAGAAGGGCGATTATGGTTCTCATTCGGAGATTTTGGCTCAAAAGCCTAACCGAAAGTCGGACTGGCATACCACTACAATATCGTTTTTTAAGGAATAAGTCGGCGTGGCTGTTCCATCACCAAGGGACCAAGGGACTGTGTTCGTCAGAATTCTATTAAGTGTTAAACACGGTACGAGACATGCGGTTGAGAAAGTCAAACTGACCAGTGTAGTTAGACGGGTCATAGAGGCACATAAACCACAAATCCCAATGAGATAGTGTTGCTGCAGTTCATAACTTTATATTACGTACTTGAACAGCGCCACGTACAAGGCTGACCAAGAGTCACGGTTTTGCTAGATTTTGAGAAAGTCATCGACCTACGGGATAGGTTAGTTATTTCAAGTATTGTTGGCTAGACGGTGGTGCCCTTGAAGTCCATCCACAATTTCGTATTTTTATTTCCACATCTGCGCTCGGTTAGGGTGTACAATTGACTGCCCAGAACCGTCCTAACAACTGGGAGGTTGTCATGGTTGTCCCCCTTCCCCCTTGTTGTTCAATTTTGTCATCGATTATCATGAAATGCAGACTCCAAGGGACCGTCGTCATCAGTGTTGGCAGTGAATGTATGGAAACCAAGTTTGGAGAGAAATCTGTACGCTTGAATTATGTAGATACCGTTTTGTTGTTTGACGGTTTGTCCGAGCAAAGCACTTAAATCAGGATACCGCAGGCGATCCTTTGTTTCGGCATGTGTTTTGCACCTTCAGGGTGCAAAATCTTACTTCAAAATTTGTCACTTCCTTGTGGCTCTTTGAAACTTTAGAATGAAGGCCTTGAGCTTGTTGGCCGATTCAGGTGTCACGGTGGCCGCATGAGCCATGGTTGTACTGTAATATATGCAGCCAATGCGCGGATAACTATGGTGCGAGCAGCGTTCGTCACTTTACATCATTTACGGCATCAGAGCCAAATCTCGCTGAACCTAAAGAGTCGTCCATACAGACAGCTGTAAGAACGGTCTTAATTTATGGCTGTGAGGCTCGGCCCTCCGATCCGAAGACCTAAGGTTAATGTCTTTGCGGCAAAAAAAGTTAGCTGGCGACAACGTGTACGCAACCAAGTGGTGCCTAGAAAAGTATTTGGTAACTAACTCGATTCGTAAGAGCGGTAGGTTGAGGTAGTTGGGGCACATGTTGCGGATGCCCAACCAGTCTGTTTCCTGTTTTTAGCGAAAGGCGTCGTCATCATGAGATTTGAGGAACCTGGACCCATTACAATTCTCTGGGTACACGGCACATATGTACGAAAACAGTGCCGCAGCTTAAAACCCTTAACGTTGCTACCAGCTGTAAGCTCACTCAGTGCGTTCCAGAACGGAACTTCAATCGAAGCAACCTCACCCAGGGAGTCTATAGCATCAAATCTAAATAATCCAAAGCAACCTGAACCTAGCTTACTTTCACTTTTCTTATGGACAGACACTAATAGGGGTCGGTCTGCGAGGACAATGAGTTTGGAAGTATAATTGGGGAAGCATCTGCATTTAGCTGAAAACTTCAGCTATTCTGGGCATTGAACAGATACGGAATTTCGTCTCGGACAAGGTGAATACACCAGCAGAACATTTAAAATGCGTCCGCAATATACAACGGAGCCAGAGAAGTATGGATGAAGTTTTATGAAAACTGAAGCAGCGAGGATTATCCCATATACAACAGTACATGTAGCGAATGTTTCAGGGCTTCCATCGACCTGGCAACACACAGGGAACCACAAAGGAAGTCGACGGTTGCTGCTGCAAGTGCTTCAAAATGTCTTACCACCCACATGAGGAGAACTAGAGCCGATTGGCTTAAACAACCAGGGTCCTCACGTGATCGGAGGCTCATAAAGTGAAGAGGATCCTGATAGAAAAATCTTGCACGGACTGAACGAACGGTTAGTTTGTGGACACATGGTCAGCGTTCTCATATCATAAAAAAGTTGGCAGCAGTTAACTTTTTTCCGCGTGAACGTTATTCAGCTCGTTCGAGGACCGTCCCACTCGTGTTTACAAAAGCGACCATCGGGTGGATATTCAAAGGAAAACATGATCACGCGAACCTTCAACCACTCAACCTTACAACTTTGTTCTTCATACATAGAATCCATGCCTAATTTTGGCGGAGGACTTGAAATCCTGGACTTCCAATGCCAGTGCCCACAAAATGAATGTAAACGCTGCCAAGCAGTGGTCGTTGGACTCGCACCTTCCTCTGAATGATGAAAAGTCCGTCCATATGTCGTTTGGAGGGGATTCAGCGAATGATTTTATTATGCATGGTAAAACGGGAGCAGGAAACGTCATGAGGATAGGTGCCAAAAAGGACTTGGGCATCTGGGTCTCCCCAAACTTGTCCTTCTCACAACACCATGAGAAATCTGCTCAAAAGCATTCGCCATTTCACGGATGATCCGACGCACCTCCTCCCGTATTACTCGCATGTACTTCGAAATACTCTATGGGGCCTACGTCAGACCGCTCCTGGAGTACGCCAACCAATTTTTCTACTCAGGACGCACGAAAGACGTCACCTTCATTGAGCGCGTCCAGGGAGCTGCTACCAGAATGGTTGCCGGCCTCAAATCCGTGGACCACGAAACGCGTCTCGCGATGCTTGATCTCTTTCCCTTGGTGTACCGTCGTCTTCGAGGGGACCTAATTCTTACTTATGCCCTGTTCAAACAAAGCTTGGCAAACGTGTTTTTCACCGTTGACCCAGCAAACACACGGCGGGGACATAGTAAGAAAATTTTCAATCTCAGAGCACACATATTCATTAGACAAATTTTTTCTCATTTCCGGTGGTGGGTGCGTGGGATGACCTTCCTCCGGCGGTTGTTCACACTCCTTCTAAAACCCAGTTTAAAGCACTATTAGACACTTATTTATGCGAATCTTCGCGCTGGCAAGCATACTGCCCCGCACTGAGAACATAAAGAACAGTGCTACACCCTTTTTCACTTGTCTTTCGGGTGAACGACAGCCGCTGGCCGATAAAACCAAAAGCGACCCGGGAAACTTGGACAATAGCCTCGATCCTGTGTATCAATCCGTGAATCCGTGAATCCGTGATGGTTGTTTCGTAAAACCAGTCCGAGTCAGTCACCTCGGACGCATCGTGCAACTTTCCGCTGGTGACACCATAGCATTCTTGAAAGCAGTGTCAAGGAGAAATATTGTTTTTGGAGTCAACGGATCTGGAGGAAAACGCTTGGTATTCTTTCAGGGACGGAAGCTCGTTGTTGTCTTTTATCTGGCCGTGTTTTTCTTGTGTTTCCGTCCACACAAACCTACAAAATTATCACTTTTTTGGACTGTCTCAACCGAGATGGAACGGTTATTCTCGAGTTTACTACCTGGTAGTGCGGACAAGGTTCCGTTACCGACAGGCGTCATGTCACTCAAAGAATGCATGGGAACTCTATGGTACGTGTTAAAACCAACGGTATTTCCAGGTGACGCCTTATATCAGCAACTTCGGGAAAGTAAAACAGTCGGAGCCGGGTTTCTATACGCTTATTATTAATAAGCGTCCACAACGAATGGGCCGCCTGGGCTATTAAAGAAAAAACAAGCCAAACTGGCTGACACGTTCGATAGACCTGCATGCCTAAGGTCGGCCACGAAATAGCCTCAAGGGTAGCGGAGGCTAGTGACTGAAGCAAAAACGCCAATTCACGTGCACCCACTAAACACAACGGTGAACAGCGGGCTCCAAATAGGGACAGAAGAAACGTGCAGAATCTAAGAAATGTCAAAACCTTGGACGACACATTGTTGGAAGCTGATGAGGATCCACAGGGTGAGGGGGTTGTATAGCCGGTCTCTTTGGTCATCCTGCAAGCCCATACACAAACTGCATCTGAACCGGACAGGCGCGACACTGCTTTCCACGTTCTACTCTCTACTGACATCCATCTAGTCCAAAGTTATTATGGCTCAAGAATAAAATCAGCAGGGTGGGGCCTCCCACAATCCAGCCCATGATTATAGATATGTGGATGCACAGCGAAAGCAAAGGGACACGTGACAAACGGTTACTTATGTAGATCTAATACTTGATTGAAAAACTTCAAAGTGAAATAACGTACTTCAATTCCGTGAATGAAAAGAACAGGGAATGGGCTCGGTAACAAATACGCCCGAGTGAAAAACGAAAACATTGAGTAAAATAAGGTAACGAGTAATCACCCAGCCTTCAAACAAAAAATGATTGCGTACGCTAAGGATTTTCCTGCGCACTGAACTAGAGTGTTTTACTAAAGTGTTTGGAAGCCAATCGGGTTGGTTTGTTGGCTGGGCGCGAACGGACTCTTCGTTTCGTTGGCCTGATACAGAATGGTCGAACCCAAGAAGCTCCTTAGGTATTCAAGAGAGCTCGTTATGTCATGCCGAGAGCCTGCCTCGCGGATGAATTTCGTGAGTGGCTTTTATGTTCATGTTATGTATGCAGCGTATGCTTTTTCCATCCCTAACTTCTCTCTTTCTAAGAATTCTACTCACCCCACTTGAACGAAAAAAAGGAACTGCGGATGATTCGTCCAGTAGGGAGAGGGTTATTGTGTTGTGTTCATGGCAGCTTTACTGCACCACCGTTGCTTTCAATTGCGGTGTGTGGAAATACGTCAGTGACCGATGCGTTTCCAGTGTGTTAGATTGCACAATTACAGAAACAATTACGGTCCTCAATCCTAATGAAAAATTGGTCTCGCGAGGATACCGGTACCTCCGAGAAGACGTTGAATGCATCAGGCCGTTTAAAGCGCAGGCTTTAGACATTGATTCAGTGAGCTGACATGTCATCCATACTACCGGTGGAATCAATAAAAAATAATCCACCTGTAGCACCCTTTCTTTGCCTAGCTGCAATGCCACCCAGAGGACGCACGAGGGGTGGGCTACTGCCAGGATGCCCGAGCCTAGACGAGAGAATTCGAGAGGCACGGGCCGTGTTCGAATCACGAACCTCCCGGTCAGTATATTCGCGCTCTGACCACAGCCATCTCGCTCCCGACCGGCGGAGTCAATAGTATCTTTCCGTTTCTTTGCTGTAACAGACAGTATTTGTGGATATAAGTGCTCTGTAGATTTCATTTTACATGGGTTAATTTAAGATGGTTCACGCAGGACGGTGGTTCCTCGCATCCTTAGTCGCTCTCCATGCATGAAGAACAAAGTTGTAAGGTTGAGTGGTGCAGGACGGTCTCGCATCCTTAGTCGCTCTCCATGCATGAAGAACAAAGTTGTAAGGTTGAGTGGTTGAAGGTTCGCGTGATCATGTTTTGTTTTCCATATCCACCCAATGGTCGCTTTTGTAAACACGAATGGGACGGTCCTCGAACGAGCTGAATAACGTTCACGCGGAAAAAAGTTAACTGCTGCCAACTTTTTTATGATATGAGAACGCTGACCATGTGTCCACAAACTAACCGTTCGTTCAGTCCGTGCAAGATTTTTCTATCAGGATCCTCTTCACTTTATGAGCCTCCGATCACGTGAGGACCCTGGTTGTTTAAGCCAATCGGCTCTAGTTCTCCTCATGTGGGTGGTAAGACATTTTGAAGCACTTGCAGCAGCAACCGTCGACTTCCTTTGTGGTTCCCTGTGTGTTGCCAGGTCGATGGAAGCCCTGAAACATTCGCTACATGTACTGTTGTATATGGGATAATCCTCGCTGCTTCAGTTTTCATAAAACTTCATCCATACTTCTCTGGCTCCGTTGTATATTGCGGACACATTTTAAATGTTCTGCTGGTGTATTCACCTTGTCCGAGACGAAATTCCGTATCTGTTCAATGCCCAGAATAGCTGAAGTTTTCAGCTAAATGCAGATGCTTCCCCAATTATACTTCCAAACTCATTGTCCTCGCAGACCGACCCCTATTAGTGTCTGTCCATAAGAAAAGTGAAAGTAAGCTAGGTTCAGGTTGCTTTGGATTATTTAGATTTGATGCTATAGACTCCCTGGGTGAGGTTGCTTCGATTGAAGTTCCGTTCTGGAACGCACTGAGTGAGCTTACAGCTGGTAGCAACGTTAAGGGTTTTAAGCTGCGGCACTGTTTTCGTACATATGTGCCGTGTACCCAGAGAATTGTAATGGGTCCAGGTTCCTCAAATCTCATGATGACGACGCCTTTCGCTAAAAACAGGAAACAGACTGGTTGGGCATCCGCAACATGTGCCCCAACTACCTCAACCTACCGCTCTTACGAATCGAGTTAGTTACTAAATACTTTTCTAGGCACCACTTGGTTGCGTACACGTTGTCGCCAGCTAACTTTTTTTGCCGCAAAGACATTAACCTTAGGTCTTCGGATCGGAGGGCCGAGCCTCACAGCCATAAATTAAGACCGTTCTTACAGCTGTCTGTATGGACGACTCTTTAGGTTCAGCGAGATTTGGCTCTGATGCCGTAAATGATGTAAAGTGACGAACGCTGCTCGCACCATAGTTATCCGCGCATTGGCTGCATATATTACAGTACAACCATGGCTCATGCGGCCACCGTGACACCTGAATCGGCCAACAAGCTCAAGGCCTTCATTCTAAAGTTTCAAAGAGCCACAAGGAAGTGACAAATTTTGAAGTAAGATTTTGCACCCTGAAGGTGCAAAACACATGCCGAAACAAAGGATCGCCTGCGGTATCCTGATTTAAGTGCTTTGCTCGGACAAACCGTCAAACAACAAAACGGTATCTACATAATTCAAGCGTACAGATTTCTCTCCAAACTTGGTTTCCATACATTCACTGCCAACACTGATGACGACGGTCCCTTGGAGTCTGCATTTCATGATAATCGATGACAAAATTGAACAACAAGGGGGAAGGGGGACAACCATGACAACCTCCCAGTTGTTAGGACGGTTCTGGGCAGTCAATTGTACACCCTAACCGAGCGCAGATGTGGAAATAAAAATACGAAATTGTGGATGGACTTCAAGGGCACCACCGTCTAGCCAACAATACTTGAAATAACTAACCTATCCCGTAGGTCGATGACTTTCTCAAAATCTAGCAAAACCGTGACTCTTGGTCAGCCTTGTACGTGGCGCTGTTCAAGTACGTAATATAAAGTTATGAACTGCAGCAACACTATCTCATTGGGATTTGTGGTTTATGTGCCTCTATGACCCATCTAACTACACTGGTCAGTTTGACTTCCCCAACCGCATGTCTCGTACCGTGTTTAACACTTAATAGAATTCTGACGAACACAGTCCCTTGGTCCCTTGGTGATGGAACAGCCACGCCGACTTATTCCTTAAAAAACGATATTGTAGTGGTATGCCAGTCCGACTTTCGGTTAGGCTTTTGAGCCAAAATCTCCGAATGAGAACCATAATCGCCCTTCTGTTTGGGTCTGGGCGTCCTGATGCTATCCCAGACTACGTACAGCCGTGGTACCTATAACTAATAATACCCTCATGCCGCATCGGCCGTCGCGCAGTGTCTCCAGTCGGATCATATAGTAGGGCCGGTGAGCGAAAACAAGCTACTGCTGACACCTCTTTTCATAGGCTCTGATACATTCCCCCCTTCTATTCTACCCCAATGCGAGTGCTTTCTCTGTAGTTCCAAAGACTAAGGATGACCGCCTTATTCGCCATGCACCATGCTCAGCTGCACTTCTGTGCGCCCGACTTCATCAACAACCCTGAACACCCCGAATTCTTTTGGAACACCGAAAACCGGTGTACCTATCCTCCATGAATATTCGCACACTGAATCAAACAGGACGTAAAGCAGATCCTGCTCGTACGCTAGATACTTCATCATCAATAGGTTAAAATTGGTGTTCAACACTGATGCTTCGCTGCCGCAGTTTGTTTGAAAGCCTTATTTTTGAGAAAGTGGATCCGGAAGGGACTTAATGCTAATCTATCAGAACCATTCCGAGGCGCCTGTACTTCAAAACACGCGTACATACAATATGGATAGAAGCTGACAGCAAGAGTGCCATGGGCATCGATTAGTAAAAATATCGTACAGCGTCTCTAACCGGGAAAAGTGAGGATCACGCGGACGCCATCCTGGAGGGTCCAGGGCCCAGACATTTTGTGATCTCTTTCATACCCCTCTGTCAGGTCACAGGTGACTACCTCTCTACCTGCTCCATAATTGGGAACGCTGGATTCCCCCTGCACTTAAGTACACTATCTCACAGAAACAAGATTCCAGGACGCACGTACTGTAATTGAGCTAACGGCCTCGCTCTCCTAACGATTTCTGCCACCCACCTCTGTTAACGCAGAGACCCCTGTGACTGCACACGGCGGGTTGGTTATTGTGTTGAGCCATTGAGCGGAAGCGTTTCTATCTGATTGGGCACCCATTGATAGTCACCTCTGTGTGGTTCGTTTTGGTGAAGTTTGTGAAGGAATTTCGGATAGTGTAGTCCAATGCTCCTTTCATATTCCATCTGC